TTTTTTTTTTAATTTAGGACTATCCTTTCGTTGCAATGGATACTGAATTCCCAGGGGTTGTTGCCACTCCGCTCGGCACTTTTAAAAGCAAGGAAGACTTTAATTATCAACAAGTATCCTGCAATGTCAACATGCTCAAATTGATTCAAGCAAGTTTAAGTGAAAATTTCCAAATTCAGCACTCCATTGTTCATAAACTTATTCAGGTGGGATTTGCGTTAGTCGATGAAAAAGGAGATCTTCCACCAACAGGCGATGTATGGCAATTTAATTTCCACTTCTCGCTTTCCGATGATATGTACTCACAGGAGAGTGTGGAAATGCTCAGAGCGGCTGGAATCGACTTTACTCGTTTGCAGGTTCACATTAGTTGTGACCAGGGAAGTTGTGGATGTTTTATTAATCTTAAGAATTTAGAACGAAGGTATTTCAATGGACATTTTCGGCGAGCTGTTGACAACATCAGGACTGATTGTGGATGACCGGATTACGTGGCTTACATTCTCGTCGGGGTACGATTTCGGATATCTCCTCAAGTCAATAACCCTTGGTGAACTACCAAAGGAGGTATGAACGACAGTTTTTGAATTAGATGTAAGCAGCGGTGTCATTGTTCTTGCAGGAATCGCAATTTTTCCAATTCCACCGAGCGCTATTCCCTCGTTGTTACGACATTAAATTGATGCTACGGATGCCTGGTTCATTCAACACCAAACTTAAAGGAGGCTTGCAAGAGGTATCTAGAGTCGTTGCTTTTACGTTGTCTTTCTGTTCAGGTTTGTAATGAGGTTTATAAGGAAAAGGCAATAAGATTTTATAGTGATTTCCCGCAATTGTTTTGGTAGGACCCAATTAGAATTCTGTTGAAGGTGGCAGATCAGTTGGACGTTAAACGGCACGGCATGCGTCATCAAGCTGGATCGGATGCCCTGCTTACTGCGAAAACGTTCTTCAAAATAAAGCAACAATTTTTCAACGATAATTGGGACAAGGCTAGTTTTTCTCAAATGTATTTATTTCTTAACTGTTTTGTTTTATTGTGGTTCCTTAAGCTTTCGATACCTCATGTTCAGCAAACTTTCATAGTAAAGGATAGGCTCTTGGGCGTAATCAGTACCGTCTGAAGTGTGCGCCCACGCATTCGACTTTCATTCAGAATCGTGGTGGCATATTGAACGCATATGTAGCCGATACAGTGACATGTGATGCCCAGCCGCTGTAGAAATCAGTGCTTTATCTTCCCAACGAGTATGGTACCATTTAAGCGATACCGGAGGGATGGAAGGTTTGGTTTGCCTAGGCGAATATCTATGCAGGATTCGACTCCGTGACCACGCGTGAGAAATACTGCGCCACCTGTCACGACGCCATCTTCGCCCATCAGACAAAGTACAAAGGGTTAATCACGTTGCGCTTCCAAGGGTTGACTAGGGTTCATAGTGAATGAGGGAAATTGGTCGAATAACACAGAGAATAATTGAGTGAAAAGGAGGTTCACCATCAAACAAGTGCGAGAAAATTTGCACATCAGTAAACAATTCGCGGCAATCCTACTTTTCATCATGTTAAGGTTAAATCGAAGACGCTTACTCACCTTCATGAGAAATTGTTCCTTTCCAAGACGAGAATGGGTGACGTGTGCATCTAGAAGGTTTGCCACAGATAACTATTCTATTGGTCATCGTGACCAGTGAACTTTTTCTGGAGACGGTACGAGATTCGAAGTATCAGAACAGAGCTGGTCATAGGGAAGAAATTCAAACAATAGTGTCGGAAAGCAAAGGTTTCAGATGAGCTCTTAAGTCCTGGTCTTCATCGTACTCGCAAGCTAAGCCAACCACCATTGGCACGAAGCATGTGAAAAAGCCCTTCTCGGATGGTCCTCCGTTGTCGCATGTGCGCGGTGCTAAAACTGGCTGCTCCAGCCAGTGCCGTGATTGTCTGGTTTTCTGGGAACAGATTATAGTACGTCATGTCTCGAGTCGCAGGAACAAAGTGAGCCCCCACTTTTTCCAATACAGTCCTGCTCCAGTTTCCCAGCATGAGAGGAGAGGGAGTTTTAGTGGCCGTCGTTGAATGTTCAGCTACCGTAACCGTTACCGCATGAGTGGAAGAGTGGGCTCCGCGCTACATAGACTCGCCATTAACTGGCTCAGACTCTTAAGTGAGTGGGAGCATTCAATGAAGGAAATTCGTGGCAATCATTGTTCTATATGTAAAAGATACCTCCTTATTAGCAATATTTGAAATATTTACTCAAAGTGTATGCAAAGTACAAAATTCTTGTTATAATTCGTTAACTGTTTACTTCAGGTGTCACGATTAGTCCAAGGTCACTTATTTGGTCTGGGTTCTTCGCTTTCGCTCTCTCAGTCAGCTCACAAGTTAGACGAACTGGACAAGGAAAAAGAAGCCGTAGCTGTCAATTAATATTTATTTGTTTTGTTTGCATGCACAATTGAGGAAGGTAAACCGTTCAATTTTATTTTTGTTCAATTTCAAAGTGTTTTTTTTACTTCCATCCAATTGTTTTGACATCAAGATTAGTAGGGAAAATGTTGTTGTATCTCTGTGTAGTGGCTTCTTGAGCTTCCACTTTGTCTTCGACAACAGCTGTATGTACATATATATGTATTGTTTGAAATGTCCCAGTAGCGAACGAATGGGCGAACAGATTTCTGGGAACTCATCGTATTCATCGTGACTGGGGCCAACCAGCGTTTCCGGTTATGAATATGATCTTCGACGTTGGATTTTTTGATCTTCAAGTTACAAAAAAACCAAACTGACCTCTTATTGAACCTTGTTTTAGAGAGACGTATGAGGCATTAATTTTGAACTGAACATCAAAAAAAGTCAATTCAATTGTGTTTTCTGTGGTAATTTCTTCAAGCATCGGATTCTGAATCATGTTGATTTGTTCCTTGTTTGGTTGTGTGTCTCAATTGTTTCCGAAAAATTAAGACATTTTCGTTATTCGACAATTTCGTCGTTTTAGCTGTGAAGTATCGGTATCATTGCTTTGAGTACTGTAATATGTGTTGTTTAGCAATACAAGAATTAGTCCTATTCTACCGTATAAGACTACAGAGCACTCTACTTGGCTTTGAGTGACATAAAAATAGCTTCCGCTGCGTGAGCTTTGCAAAAGAGGTGGCAAGCTTAAATTGAGGTTCTGTCTGAAGTCGAAATACGGGTAGAAAAATTTATATCCGGTGAGCACTGTATAATAACCTTTTTATATTATTGTATGAATTCCTAAGTATTCCTAAGTCTCGGTTCACGGTATTCTCAAGATCTCCATAGTTAATTTTACCATTTCATCGGAATCGAAGGAGACCGATACCGATGTTCCTGGGACGTTTATAATAGAGCTTTGTTTTATGGCATCATGTAACTGCTATACAAATGTTGGTCGCTTTTTTCTTCAGCCTCGTCTAATTGTCTTTCCACATTCTTGCGCTTATTTGAGTAAAGTAATTTTTATTTTCGTGATCGTTTTTAATGGTTAGCCAGCCTCCAAAATATTTATACTATCTTATCATGCAATAATTGTGCCACTTCATGGTTTATAGAATTCGAGCCTTTTCAGAAATGCCCTCTAATAGTCAAAGGAAGCACACCATTTCCAATAAAGTTCGCAAGCGTCCCGGTAAAGACATTGATCAAATCCATGAAGATTTAAAGCCGAACAAAGCAGCAAGGCTGCTCAATCAAGAGGTATAAATAAGATTAGTAATAAAGGCTAATTTTTGCCAACGTGTTACATTATCGTGAGAGTAAACATTGACACACAAATGATGTAATAAGCGAGCAGGTAGACAAAGAAGCAATCCATAGTGACCAATTGTTTTGCTTTGAAGTACAAGGCTTGAGTGCGTTCGACTGTGGTTCCCGATGCTATGCTAGTACACGGGCCTTGGAGTATGGTGCTCCAGTGCTGAGTAGGGCAGGGAGTTCAAAGTATGCCCGACGCTGCTCGTAATTGCTCTTGATACAATTTGGCTTCTACCAACTTTAGACAGGGCTTTCCTAATATTGTCCTTCAAGTCTTATAGATTTGAACGTTTTGCAACGGGCCTATTTTGAGAAGGATTTCAGATCGATTTGGATTTACCTGGTGATGGGCAATTCTACTGTATAGAGTGTGAACGTTATTTCATAGATGAAAAGACAAGGATGGAGCACCGGAAAACGAAGGTAGAGATTTTAGAAACCTCGATTATGAACCTATTTTATAGAAATTAATTTAAGTTGCACAAAAATCGTGTTCGAACTCTGAAGGAGGTTCCGTATTCAATCAAGGAAGCCGAGGCTGCTGCTGGCCGAGGGCACTACAAACACGTAACTCTAGAATCAAAGGTAGGCTCACTTTTTCCAACCTGAACTGTTCAGAACAATGTTGTGCTCTTTGGAAAATTACTATCACGTTCATATAACAAAGTCGTAGTCGCACTGTTGCTCAGGTCAACAACGAAGCTACAGACACCTCAATGCAAAGTGAAGACGTTGAACAAGCGGTCACTTGACCACCAATTTTCTTTTTCTATCATGAATTGTTGTTTTGTTGTTGTTGCTTCTTTGACATTATAGATTGTTACTGATGTTTTTGAACGAAAATTCTGGAATAAATTATATTTGCTCACTGTTCTGTGTTCATCATGACTGTGTTACTTGAGTCGCCCAGCAATTAATGTGTCTGCGCAATTAGGTTGTATTATTTCATTTTTTTTTGCACTTTTTGTAGGCCTCTTCAAAGAGGTTACGCCTCAGAAATGATCGAGTTCCTCCGACGTGCTTCCAATGTATGGTGTTGGTCGTTGACGGCACGAAGGCTGGTTCATGCTGAAGCACTCCGTCGAATCTACGTCAATGCCCAAAAGGTGCCTCCAAGCGACGCGACACTACTTTTATTCAATGTTTTTCTCTGATGTAGTTAGCACTTATGCGCCCATACATAATTGCAGGCATGTTCGCGTATACGACCCGTACCGAGAGTTGACCCTCGGGCTGTATTTGTCAACAATGAACTCGACCTCGCCTCGATTGATGTAGGAATTTTGTTTCCATTTTAGTTATGCATATTCAAGCTCAGTTTTTATCTATGTTAAATGGTTACCATTGAAAGTCACCATGCATGAATCATCGTCTATGGAGCACTTAACTGTAGCTAGGCGTTACACTTGGCTTAATCCACATATATGAAAACTTGCCCCGCTTTGGCTCATTACAGAGCGATTAGGATGACTACTTGTTTGAATTTGAGTATTACTTGTACGGTTTTTTTTTCATTCAAGAGGCGCTATTCAGGTATACGGATTTGATTATGATTACACTCTCGCTGTTTATACTCGAGCTCTAAACGCGCTCATATATAAGTTGGCGCTTCACCGTCTCGTCACACAATTCAAGGTAACTAACAATAAGTCGGCCCTGGATGCGGTGGTCATTGTTCATTGGTACAGAAAGTAACAAGTGCGAAAGTTGCTCAGTTTGCAGTATCCTGAAAGTATTCTCGATATACCTTATGACAGCGAATTTGCAATTCGAGGATTGCACTTTGACGTCCAAAGCTCTTGTCTCATGAAAGTTGACGCCTTCTCCCAAATTCAATGCGGTTTGTTTTTCATGGCGTCAATATCCTTTTCTTATTGAAAACAAACTCCTTCCTTGGTCTCTTTATAGAATCCTTGAAATCTCTTTTCAGCCTCTGTATATAAAGGAAGGAGAAGGCTTTCCGACGCCGAGGTGAAGAAACTCTTTCCACGACTATCTCTTCCTGACATGAAAGGTGCTCATTACTTGCCTGCAGATATAGCTTTAAAAGAGTGATTCGTTTCGATTCTATGTGGTAATGTACTCGTCCTAACTGTTAGACGTTTGTACTAGTTTGCTTTTTTAGTAAGTACCAATTACGCCAATAGCGCCTTCCTATGGGGCCTTTTCGCAGTAGTTTATATAGCGCCGTCTTACTGGGAGGCAGTTTATTGATCCCCTTTTCATAGAATCGAGATTTCCGTCTCGCATGCTCTCAGGCACCATTCACTTTGACTGCTGCCAAATGCTGAAGTTCATTATAATTTATTCCATTCTTTGAGAAGCGTCTGAAAGGGTTTTCTGGCGGTGTGTCGCGAAGTAGCTGAAAACGAATTCCTTTTTTGTCTTCTTTCGAAGAAGCCCTTAATGGCACAGTTCATGATGAAAATAGTTCCTGGAAATTTCCCCTAGAACAAGTCAAGGCTTCCATGTATATACGCACGTGGGACGCTGCCGGATTGAAAAACTGCCCAGATAGGCCAAAGTAGGGGTTCGAGGACCGGTTTCGTCAAGGTCCAAACCCGAAGACGGACGGTTTTTCACGATGTAAAGGCTGCACTATATACTATGTAACACTCATATCCCAACGACTAGTCGTGACCCTGGTGACAGTGCGAAATCATTTTTGATCTTTTTGGCTAACTGTAACCAGCTCTTGACGGAAGGAATACCATGGATTGGATCAATATCGAGTAAGGGGCAAGGCCAAAAAGCTAGTATCTTTGACGATGGTCGTCTAACAATTTTATGGGCTGTTATGTTTACAGGGCGACAAATGCCGCAACTGGTGGACTTCTTTTCTCTCCCTTGGGCAGGTCTACTCTCCACTGTCGTACATTACTGTGACCTTCATAACATTGTATTCGACCCTAAATGCTTATATGATGATTTGGAGGTGAGCCAAATCGTCGAAGATAGTCCTTTATAGCGAAGTAGGCTTACAGATACTACAAGAAGTTTTGTAGGAATGTGTGAAACAAGTACACACTAGTGGTGAAATGTACCGCGAAGTATGTGGAGACTTAAAACACTTCGTACATCCCAATGAGGGTCTCAAAGAGTATTTGGAAATGTTGTATTCAAATGGAAAGGAGCTGTTTGTGGTTACCAATAGTCCATTCACGTTCATGTGAGTTTACAATTTCGGGTTCTACATTGCGTGAATGAAATCGTTTTCTTTAGAAATGTTGGTATGACGTATATGTTGGGTAAAGATTGGAGAAAGTTTTTCAAATACATAGTCGTGTTGGCGAAAAAACCAACCTTTTTCGTGGGACGCGAGCCATTCCGGTATGTCTTTAAGGGTTATCAGGACGCAGAACGAGTCGTTCTTACTGTGAACTATTTCAGAGTATACGATCCTGACTTGGACATGCTGAAGTTTGAGAAAGTTCATCGTCTAGAGGAGGGTAACGTATACGCTGGAGTGTGTAATTTTTTATGGAAGCCCTTTTTTATATTTCTTAAACCCGTTTGCGCAGGCTTAGCAATGCAGTAAAAGCTTGAAATCCACTATCTCTGCCCATTTTTGAAGGGATGGAGTGAAAGGATTTCCAGCTTTTCAGCGCCATTTCTAGCAGTATCCTAAGTTTGTAAGGCCTGCACAATGGCTACCACTTCTTACTGGTAGATAATCTGCATAAAAAGTGATCTGCTTTCTGTAAACTACGTCTTAAAGGGAAATATCAACGAGCTATCAACTCGCGCTGGTTTCAAAGACAAGGGTGTGCTCTACTTTGGTGACCATATTTACACTGACCTTGCGGAACCGATTCTGAGGTACGTGGGCTGTCAAAGAAAACCTTTCATTCTTTGACGATAGTGTTTGAGAAAACTTTCCTTCCCATATACAGAACTGTTTTCTTTGAAGACTAGGATGGCGTACTGCGGCCGTGGTCCCTGAACTCGCACGAGAGATAAGGATACAAAATGACGAATCCCATCAGTAAGTACCAAAATAAACCATAACATAGTCAGGGTGATAAACTGAAGTGAATCATAGGAAAATCATACAGTGGTTGGAAATGCTCACGGCAATCATTGAATTGTATCGACCAGAATCACTTAAGGATCCCGAATCTGTAAAGGTTATCGAAGAGTGGCAGGCTGAAAGAGGCGAATACAGGTACGATTAGAGTGTGTCGACACTATACGCTAGCTTGAGCGCAGCCGTAGAACGGCTGTCTTGATTGCATTTCATAGCTGCCGATAGCGACCAACGTCCATCCAGTTTGGTAGCTCGCGGCGTGAAAGTAAAAATTTCACCATGTGCGACCCGCCACTCATTCATGCCACTTTTACCTTTTATTCGTACTTCCTTGATGTTTACATTTGTTTTTTCAGAGAGATGGCCAAAGCGTTGTTCAACCCTCATTTTGGTTCCTTGTTCAGAACCTANTAAGGCAGCAGAATTCCATATTCTATTTACTTTTTGAGATTATCAGTAGCGCAAGAAGGATCGAATTTTGAAATTTATCAAGAGAGTCGAAGCGCAGATGAGAAGAAAACTCTAATAAGCTCTTAAACGAAGAAGTCTACCGTGAAAATAAAGCATAGGTTGAGGCGGCGGTTGGTTCTATCGCACTCTGCAGATAGGGTGATGTTTCTCCAGCAGCACGGAAGATGAAGGTTGGGAAAGTGTGTGGTCTAGGTTGAGCACTAAAACGAGGCATGCAGGACTCTCGGAAACCAAAACGGTCTACAACGGATACCATCCACATGAATAAAAGAGAGAAGCATAGACCCTGTCAGCTGGCCTTCCTCGGCTGCAGGAACCGTTTGACTATTTATTGCTACCGGCGCTTTGAAGGGCGCTCCAAAACGAAACATAGCAGGCTAACTAATCTCCCTAGTGAGCGGTCGTCCGTCACTAGGTGCAAAATAACCGGACAGAAACTTCCCCGTAACCGTGTCTGCAAAGGTGTCGAAAGACGTTGCTCTGATCTCGTTCAGAATGCTCGTTGATGCCCTGCTCTTTTAGTCCGACTTCCTCTCCTCGCTGAGGACTTGATCATTTGAAGCAACTGGTCGAGAATCATCGTCAAGCGTAGTAACTCAGAACGAATGCGTTGAAAATGATTGCTCGAAGTTGAGTTCTCGACATGATTTACAAAATGGCCGCTTGGAGAAAGATTAATACTACTGATGGAGACCCTGTCATTGGTGATGGTCTGAAAGCGGCGGAAGTTCTCTTAGGGAAATAACGATATATGTAAATTTGTGTCCCAATCTTTCGTATCAACATAATAAATAATAATAAAAAGGGGGTGAAGATCGAAGAGTAGTGTGTTTTTGATTATTTAATCTCGATGATTACTATGACAGTTTCCCTTGGTATACTTATCGGGCANAGATTAATACTACTGATGGAGACCCTGTCATTGGTGATGGTCTGAAAGCGGCGGAAGTTCTCTTAGGGAAATAACGATATATGTAAATTTGTGTCCCAATCTTTCGTATCAACATAATAAATAATTTTAAAAAGAGGGTGAAGGTCGGAGAGTAGTGTGTTTTTGATTATTTAATCTCGATGATTACTATGACAGCTTCCCTTGGTATACTTATCGGGCATAGGTTGTGTAGTGGCAAAAGGCGCACTTCACACTAGCATGGTCACGGGTTCGAATCCTTGGTTGATACTTGCTAAATTACACATCGGCTGGCCACCGCAAGTCAATTTATAGGCCTTATACGCATTCAATACGTGCCTACGATTCTGAATGGAAGTCGAAAGCAGGGCGCATCCCCCAGACGGACTTGATTGACGTCCCGAAACTTTATCGTTTTAGGCTCTATCCTCTCATTAGTTTTTTGGCTATAGATTATAGAGCAATGTTACAGACTCTCTGATGTCTATACAAGCCGTGTACCAAATCTGCTTAAGTACGATCTTCGCCATTGTTTCTTTCCTCGCCGAAATGCTCTACCACACGAAGGATTACACTCTGTTCCAATCAACTCGGATTCTATACTCGAAATTTTGAAACATAATGAGGAGCTTCGCGGTGATTCCGAGCAACCATGAAGTGCTGTTTTCCTCCCGATCTTTCTCCTCCTCACAGTAATTCATGTAATACTACCTACCCTTCGATAGTGCCTTTAAATTTCCTTCTTTTCTTCTTTTTAACCGCTGTCTAGAAAATGTTACTGACCAACATGATGTGATCTACCTCGACCAAGCATATTTTGAGGAAATAGTTCTATAAGGGCAGTTCATCACTTAATGATTTTCAAAAAAAAACTTATATTCCGTTTTAACGATTAATTCCTCTTCAAGTAAAGCCTTAGCGAGGAGAGAATAAGAAGTTTTGATTTTCACATTAAGACAAGTGATAGCATATAAGAAATGATCACTGGTAGAAAAAGTTAGCCATAATAATTTGTAGGTTGTATAATATCATTTGTATTATTGATCCGCCAAGTCGTGTAGGTTCTCATTGATTAGGACGTTTTAGTGTTTTCGATAGATTCTAGACCCATTTTCATAATACATCTGTTTTATGAGTTTTAGTTGTACAGAGTTTATTTTGAAGAAAGCATCCTCAAGCTTCGAATACCTCAAATATTTACGTGTTTAGTGAATTGTGATCTTTTCTTGAAGTGCCTCATAAATATTTACTGTGTACTTAATGGCCTTGAATGAAATCTTATTCGTGCGAAGTACAATTTTAGTGATTCATTCAGCTCCTTCTTGTCCAGTGGAGGCGTATCGTCGTCCTCCATTTGATATTTCGCGACCATCCGACTTTTCGAAACATTCGCTCTGCTGTCAGCGACTATCAATGACTAGCTTTGAGAGCCTTCTGTTCTTTCTAAGCTTTCCATTTGGCTGTGTAAAATTGGTTTCCTATACTTGTCGGAGATTAGGAACCCATTCTTCTTCACGGGTAGGCAGAACTGTTCTAGTTGGCATCTTACTGTTGAGCTCTTCCTACACTATCCGCTGGTGGGCGATGCCTTGTTCGGAAAATTCGAAAGATCTCTCGTTCAAAAATGCGGTTGCAGTCAAGAAGCTGATGCAAGAAAGAATTCCCAGGCTTGAACATATGGTGTCAATTCTGCAAATCTAACTGCTTGACGTTTCGTCAATTTTTCATGTGTGCTGCTCCTGCAGACCTATCAGACACAAAGCTATCTTACATAACAGTATTCAAAATGGATTTTGAAATCACTCATAAGGCTATATCATCGTACAAAATCGCAAATATTGAAGTCAACAGCAGTCTTGGCTGATTCCCTTTTCAATCGCTTTCCCTGTCTGTGTCGCTTTTGTATTTTTGCTGATGTACTTTGAGTGTTTTGAAGGGATTTCGAACATGCTCCTCTTTCCCCCGATAGTTATTATAAAAATATCGAAACCTCGGAAGCTCCAATGTCCGATATCTGCTTGCCAGATAAACCTGTCGTCATCACTCCTAGGTTGATCGTAAGCTCAGACTCTGCGATATCACCCACCGCTTTCACCACTCCTCAAGGTCGAATATCAGCAGAGGAACAGTGCCAGAAGACAGGATGATAGGTCTGAAACAGGGAACGAGCACCGCTGGGTTCCTCTCTACACTCAAGAACAACTTCAGTCTTCACACTCTGATGGTAATCATAATAGTGAGACGTCCTTTCGGAGAGTGACCCCACAAACCGAATGGTGAAAGTGGGATTCGGTAGTTATTAAAGGTGCCTCCTCCTTCAACGCGGTGGGTTCTAATTTGATACTTGAAGGCAGCAAGACGAGTTAATGCTCTTAAGACATGATTATCATGGAAGTCTTATTCTGAGAGAAGTGAAATATGCTGGATATCTGCAATAAGACAATGGTTCAGAATACAAGCCTAATGATGAAGGCCATGTTTCGACGGAGTAACAAGCGAAATCTCTTCGGTCGAACCTCCAGAGTTAATCCAACCGAATACTCATGAAAAAAAATGAAGAAACGTCACAAAAGTGAAGCAAGGACAAGAATCGGAATAGTTGATTCTGTCAAGGAATGGAAAGCCACTGCCTTGATATAAAGTCAAGAATAATAGGATGGTAGTAAAGCAGCAATCAGGAACTGTGCTCTGTTCACCATATGTTAATTTCTCGCATTCACAAAAATAAACTGGTTTTATTAACCTGCTGTGTACTTGAGGATGAAATCGTTTCTGTTCCAAGATTATTTTTTAAAGCTGATGCAAACTGATCAGCGAGGAAAAACTAACGCACGAAAGTTCGACATGGCGATTGTACCTCGTTTGCTTCAGTTGACACCCTGTTTACATCGCCTCCAATTTCGGCCATGCTCTCATTTTTTCCCTCATCCCATCTCATTCCTGAAATTTTCGAAATTTTTATTTGTCCTTGTAGAGGGATGCATTTTGTTCTCCAAATCAATTTGCATGATTCTGCACCTCGTGAAGGAAAATAAGTGCTCATGAGTTGAACTTTGTATTTAAGTTTTCATGAAATTCTTTCATGTGTCGACTGTTTAATTGATGAATGGGCGTCATGCTCAGGAACAAAAATCGAGGTGATGGCGTATGTGGAGTTCGAACTAGCAGCGCTGTGTGTTTTGCTAGAGTCCTTACGTTGGGCCCCTAATTCATGTGCAACGCTCTTTTCACGTTAGTCAATTCAAGCATGCTTATGAATTTCACCATTTCAATTTCAGGATGCTTTTCTGTTCACATTGTCCTTGATGTCTCATCCCAGTACTACTTCAGCACGAATCTAATTTCCTTGAAACTAGTCGTAGCAATTGAAAGCTATGTAGCTGAATAATTCGAAGTTAAAGTGTCCCAAAAAAAAGAAAATGAAGTTGAACTTCGAAGCAATGAGTCTCCTGTCGAAGGGTTGTGGTGCAGTAGGATCGAAATTGTCGCGTCGCGGCGAGAGAGGCGCCGCGTGCGGGAGAATGCAGCAGAGTGCAGCAGCAGGTAAGAAATACTGGAACAAAAGAACTAACAGGAGAATCATACCTATATAATGATCGCATATCGACTGAGCTGTATGAAGAAGGCTAGAGCAAGCGAATGGTCCGCGACAGCGGCATGCGGCGAATCCCTTACACAAAACCAATCCTACTGCCCGTCTCCCCTGCCGAAGAGATATACGAACTGATAGAGAAATGATCATGCATCCGCAATGAGCATGGCTTGCTAATGACGACGGTTCTTCATTTAGCTCGAATCTTTGTCATTTTTATACAGGAATCACGTCAATGTCTAATTATTAATTCGCGTAATTGATCACAGAAGAGTGAATCAGCTTGATTGAAGACAACTGATCATGGTGCACTCGCACAAGAATAACGAGGTAAAATCTGCAGAAAATATGTCATAATTTGGAGATTATAACCACGCTACACAAGGCACAATATGAAGCAAAATTGAAGAATTTTCTTGCGACTACATGGTTACCGAGACGAAAGTCATGCACTTCCACAAAAGCTGCAAATAAGTTCGTGTTCTCTTTTAACAAAAGAGCTTACAAACCAAAGAGGCACTCTACCAATGCCTTATAAATAAATGGTTCTGCATGGAGGTTTCCTAGATTCCAAATGCAGCGGGTGTTTGAGAACGTCCGCTTCATGTGGAATCTAAGAAACTAGAGGAATCCATGCGAGAGGGTTGGTGTTAACCATATAGCAGTTACTTGCTATGAAAATGGGCACAATCTCTAGTGGCGAGCTGGTAACCCGAAGGTCGGAGTGAGAGGGTGTAAATGTAAATAATAAAAATGACTTCACACGCTTAGATGGTCATTTACGTTGTTAAATTTCTGATGTTCCCGAAAAGTAGGTGTTATCCCGCGATTATCGCAAATGAACTCGTACAAAGCTCACGCAACGAATGTGTATTAGTTATGCACGGACGAATACCGGTATTTAAAAAAAAGCGATAAAACAATATGGTGAAAATAAATAAAGGAAAGAGTAAGATGATAATGCAGAAATGCTACAGGAAGCATTGACGGGCGGCGAGTAGGTTTGATAAGTTTTGCTGAACTTGTAGCGCTTCAAAGACAGGTTTCGCACAAGCTTTGAACGCGGCTTGAAGTCTGCTCTCGAAGCAGACTGCCCCGAAACCTCGAGTTGTTGTGTCGTCACTGATAATTGTGTCTCACGTTTAAATGGTGTATACAGGATCCGCCATAAATATGGTAACAAAACAATCGTTGTGGAGAAACCGCAATTCATATTGATACGTGGTGAATCTATGTGAAGTACTTAATGTGCAACGTATCAACAAAGTCATCCCCGGTCATCTGATATTACCGTCTCCTGTACTAATTATAGCTCGAAGATGCCTCGGCTACTCAGCGACGGTGGCTTGCAGAGTTTCTTGAGAACTCCGGCTCGAGCTTTTCTCACCGATTTCTTAAAAGCAGCAACAGTGGTGTGTTTTGAAGCGCAGGCTTCCCTCTTCAGCATACGCACAGATCTACTGGATTGCGGCCGGAAAATTCGAAGGCCAATTAGAAGCAGGGATGAAATCGCGAACTACTCCTCAGCACCAGCCTTGATCTTTTTTCGTTGAGCAAATGCGCGCATGTTTCCAAATCGTATCCGTGGAATAATCTTTGACCGTAGGCAGCACCTTCTCAGAAATGCCCTTCTCGAAAATGCCCGATTAATTTTTATACATTTTTGACAAAAATAAACGATATCGCTCTTGTGGCTCGTACAATTAGAGGAGGGAAAATAGGTACGGGAATCGAATTAACTCTTCTCAACTTCCTCGCCACTTGTACTGTGAAATATTGGTGAACTATGGGATCTGAATATTCCTTTTACTCTGAACACTTTTTTATCAGAAAAAATACCGTGCGTGCCACTTGTTCTCCTTTCAAACCTCCTCTCGTCGAAAAGTTCACAGACTTTTCGAACCCTATCTGGATCCTTGTAGTTGCTCAGAGGACTATTCTTATTGAAGTATAACATACATTCAATTCGACAGCCATTATTCTTGTATTTCTGCAGATTCGTAGCGTAATCATTCCCAAGCGATTGTATTCGGAAAAGGGGCCGTAATCGAGACAAAATGGCCGTTCTAGGTCTGCCCGTGGACCTGTTCACGCATCGCGATATAACAGACTGTCATGGGAGAAATGTCGAAGAGATGTGAGAACTCGAAAACGGACTCATCGAATGCGCACAAAAACCGAACGACTGCTAGATGAATGCGAGGCTTCACTATTTTTCGAAAATTGAAAAAATGAGAGCACCAAAGCAGATATGTGGGCTAAGGTATGTACATGATACGCACAAGCGAAGGAGCAGATTCGGAAAAACCCAAAAAAAGTAAGATATAGTGGAATTCCGCTGAGTTTTTACCATATTTATGAAGCACCCTGTAGAATACGAAATGCTTGCGGTGACGGCTGAATCAAAGGCAATGTGAAAGATTCGACAACCTTATTATTATACGAGAAAGTGAAAATTGCGGAAATAACAAGCTATGGAAATTGTAAGAGATATCGTACAAGAGAAACGCTAAGGATCGAAGACCAGGTAGACCGCACACGTTATGCGATATTGTACTGACCATCGGATCAAGGCGGTAGCTGGGTGGCTCCCTCGGCACATCAAGCGAGCACCAGGATGGCTGCCAGCGACTGTCAGCATTACTTTTGTCAGCAGCTTCTTTATGGAAGCTGTGAACAAAGTAATGCTATGCTTCGTTCTCCCACAGCGAATAAGTTCCACTGGACTTGTCTGGTTGGCGACAGGGACGAATGGAGATTTTACTGACGCCGACTCGAGGAAATCGATGGTCAACGGGACGACAAGTGATGCACCAATATTAGAGTCCGAGAGAGTTGCACACACTGGTAAAGGAGAACCCCAAAGTCTACGAAAGATATAGACAAAACTACAGAACCTCTCAGTAAGACTTGAAATGCCAGAAGCGTCAGTCCTAGTGTTGCGGAGAATATGTTCTCAGTGTAAGCCCTCTTAATCCTCCAGATCGGGCAAGCCCACTTTTCTCCAACCATTCTACTTACTTTTTGCAAAAGAGATGTAAAGAGACGCTTATAAAAAGCTCGTAGAGTCCGGCAACCTCACATTTTCTCAAATCGCCAATATGCCAGTTCAGCGGAAGCTCTAAAAGTATGTTAATCGGCCTCTAGGCTCCACATTAAGCTCCACAAGCGAAACCATCCTCCAGTTAGTAAAGTTACCAATTTTTTTTCAATAAATAGGATGGCAGGACAAGAAAACTGGAAAAAGAGTATGCAATACTAGGCCTCGCACACCAGAGAGGTCATGTTGGATTGTACGACAATTAAAAGTTGTTGACTTGTTAAGTTATCTTTACAACGAATCATGATTATTTGAGCACGTCACTACAATTAGTAATTCGCAGGATGAAACGTTGACCACGTATAAATGAGAAGTCATTATTATCCAGAAGTGGGATACACCCAATACAACTCCGACGCACGGACGAAGACGCTCCCTTTCACATGAATTTTGAAACGAAACCAGACAACAAATATTTACGAAGAAATTATAGTTATTCAAGGTAAGAAAATTCAAAAGCAGCGTATTTCATCGCAATGCTCAAGAGGAAAGAATTAACGTAATACAACCAAGCCTGATCAATACCACTGGCAAATAAGCGGGGCATTTCTTCATCACGAGCAAATAGATGGTCACAGGATATGTATCACAATTGGATTGACCTCGTGTAGTCGTACTCAATAGTTGGTATTACGGTCTGAAAACAAGGTCGTTAAGTGGGATCTCAAGCAGTCAAACTCAAGCTGATTACCTGCACAAACTTCAGAAATATTAACAAATATTCATGTACACCAAGTTCTTTACCATTTTCAGCGAGCTGGTCCAATAAGCGTTTCATCATCTGTCAATTAAACGATTTCGATAACAAAGAAATGGGAATCATGAATAAACAGTAAGATCGTTACTCCGACTTGGCTAAAATTTGCCGACGAAAGAAAAAAGAATCGAAAATAAAGATGAGTTTCACAAGGGCGTTAAGTCGGTATCACTATTCTGAACCGGTACTGAAATTGAGTTCTACCTATAGGAGTGGTGTTTACCTGAGATACTATTTCGAACCGGTACTGAAATTGAGTTCTACCTATAGGAGTGGTGTTTACCCGAGATAGAAAGAAGTTTTAAAAAAAGTCAAATCGCCTTGAATTTTTGAATGTGCCCGCTCTTTGATGTAAATAGCCATTGATGCTAGATGACAGGTAAGTTTTCATGATGTATCCCTGTTTTGACGTTGTTAAAGTGAATTGGTTGGAATAATGGTATGCGCGTAATGGCGAGTAAAAAAAGCACGATCACAATCTTCGTAATACCTCAGCATGGCGACATGGATGAACCGTAGGCATATCGCAATCAATGTGAGGATGTGCTTCAACGGTAATGGTTTTATGAGCGTGATCCTGTAAATGTATTGATGATTAACACCATCGGTGGTGTTAATGTTGACCGGATCGGTGGAATGCAACTTACGGCCGAAAAGTCTTCGTAGGTTTCTTGCACAGTAAGTGGTTTCCGGTTTTCGTCATATCCCATGAGAAACAGTCTTGGAACCTTCAAGAAAAAAATCATTACTGCTCCGTTATATACATCACATTTTCGGTACCACGCGTAGTAAGAGCATTGAATTGTGTTTCAAGCGTTAAAATGTGTTCGTTTTAAGTGGCTAATCGCGCGAGAAAGTGGAATATAGGTTTGGGCAAAATTTGATCTAAGACTAAATCCAAAGACAGAGCACGAAGTGACAGCGCTATCTGATGCATTCCACATCCAGCAGTTAAGAGGAACTATTCATTTGTTTTAGAGCACCTCGAATTAAGCGCATAGTGTGACTAGACAACCTCTAAAAGGAATACGAGAGTAGGTTTTGAATCGCTTCAGTAAAGCCCCGTTTCCAACTACTACAGTTATTCGATGAACGCAAACTGTGCACAAAAGATCTTTGAAAAAATATTAAAATTCAATCACCTGATAGTATTTATCGTATGTAATGTGTAAGTCATAAGTGCGAGGCCTTTCAACTTCAGCTACAGTAACTGCTTGAGGAGAGACATATCTGGAAAGGACCACGCATGATCGCAAGTTGTTGGTTAATAATACATTTAATATGGAGTGAGAAGCACCTTTGATCGAACAAAAAAAGAATCGTCATCATCTAAATCATTCACTTTGCTTGTTTGTCTGTCTGTGTCTTAGTCGATTTAAAGGAGTTTTTGTTTGTAAACTAGTGATTACGAGTCAATCGGAAATCGCAACAATCAGTTAGATAAGAAAATTAAGTGGCTAGCGGTATCAATCGCAAGTAACTGTATAATTGTAATGACACAATTGTACATTTATATGAACCACAGCACACTCGCAGCTATTTTGAAAGTACTTTTGCATGCGTTACATCGGGAGGTGGGAAAGGTTGAAAAAAAAAAGCTTGTTCAAACTAATGAGTAGAGGTGATAAAGGACAAACAACAGCAACCGATCCTAGACAGAGAGACCCAACCAACAATTGCCATCTATCATGACACTATTACACTCTCCTATGAACTCATGAATTTACATATGTGCAAACATGCAGCATTCAAAGAGCAGGATGAGGGAGTAGCGTGGGTGGTGCGGGGAGGTCGAAAGAGCAAAAAAAGAGCGAGTACCTGTTTGGATCGATATCTTCTAAACCTCCAGATTCGACAAATTCATCAAGATCCATAGCAGGCTCATCACCATCATCGTCGTCATTAGAATTTACAAGTTCTGATCTCTTTAAAAAAGGACCATAGAAGTGGTTCCACCGCATACAAAATAATGAACAGCTTGAGCCTACTTTTTCGCCTAATTCCACGCTTCCCATTTCCCCACTATCATGAGCAAAGTGATGTGTATCCACCCAGCCGCTATCTTCGTCACCTGCGAACCCGTCCTCTGCTCCGATTTCTTCTGATGAAAGAATCTAGACTATCAGTCATTGACAATAAAACAAAACAATAAAACAAAAACAATATGAAACCCCAATCCGCATACCTTCTCCTGACTAGAATCATACTCCATTTGACGACACCTCTTATGGCAAGGAACGTTTCGAACAATAAGAAACTGCTTGTCTGCAGGAAGGTATGATCGCGACCTGTATCAGAATGATGCATCCTTCAAAATTATAGAGGAAAACAGATAAATCAGCTCATGAAATAACCTGCAACGATTGATAAAAGTTTGCTACTGAGCTACTGCTTTGGTTCTTTGAACCTTTAACAAGTTTTTAGTCAATTTCAGAGTAAAATTTGAGAAGAAAAATTCAGAAATCCCTCGGTACACGCTTAATATTGCAAAACATAAACCATATACAGGAATGTGTCACATCTCTGTTTATACTGCGGCTGTACAGTTTTGCGTTTTCAGTTCAACTCTTCCAAAATAGAAAATGGGGTTGCAGCCTAGAAAGTCACTATAATCATTCCATATCCGTGTAGCTTTCAAAATGGCACCCCAAAACGCAAATGTGCGTTCCCTGCAGACTTGCATGCAAAGCCAGTGACCATGCTGGCACCGAGAAACTGCACAGAAACGAGGATAAAGGAAGACGTCTTGGACGTTTATCAATCCCGTCTGAGGGATGAATTCACGCATTCGACTTCCATTTAGAATCGGTAGTGGCGTATTAAATGGCCTACACAATAACATTCTTTGGCCGGTCGATGTACAAGTCAGTGCTTTTATCCTCAAAGATCGGAAGGATTTAGGGCTTGGTTGGCTCTGGCGGATATCGATCCGGCGTTTGAACCCATGACCACACATGTGTGAAGACCATTTGCCACTTCACCATCTCCCCCAGAAATTAGCATAGGAAAAAATATTCATTTCGGGGCCATTTTAGTGGAGCGAAAACATTACTCAAGATAGGACCCTGACATCTAATAAGTATCGGATGGAAAGGCTCTAATATGCATTTAAAGGTGATAAATGGAAGCGTCTGTATAGTACAAAACAGCTCATTCATACACATTTACATTGCTGTCACCGCTGTCACGGTATTGTGGTCACGACGCGATTTAACTGAGCGGCTTATCTTTTAGCAAGGGATGACAAAGAAGGTCTTTCACAATTACTGATTTCTTGCCTGAAAAAAGATGCAGACCACTACGCCAAGAGCACAATCTGTCGGGGCTGGTGCGGAAGCAACAAATGAAGTCGTTAGTGGGGGGGGGGGGGGAGAGGTGACACCGAAGGTAGAAAAAGAACAAGATGAAGAAAAGGCCCCTTCCCACTTTTTCTGTTTTGTTGCCCATCACAGGTTTGGAATATACTCGGGGTAATTCACCACTTCATCGTTCAGATCCATTTAAAGGAGATGATTCGGAAAGTGAGAACACGAGCCAAAGTGAAATGCTGGTTGCTGAGACACAAAAAGCACTCCTAGCATAGGTCTTGGAATTGGAGCACATGCGAACTTAAAGATAGTAATACACGTTCCTATGATTCCCTGTGAGAAGAAGTTCATCCTCGAACATCCTATCGAAATAGAAATGATTATCACCCATACATTTTGTCTTTTCAAGCAAAGCCTTAAGTTTTGTGAAGCATTTACTCATCCAGAAACTAATCTTGACGGAACGTCAATAGCTTAAAACAAGTGACAATGAGAAGAAGAGCAAGCATGATGTTGGATTTAAATAAACGAAAATATGTAAAATAAAAAGTAAAAGTAAGTAAATAAATAGACAGTAATAAGAACGGAGTAGTAAATGTATAATCGTAAAATTAACATGGTAATCCTCATAATTAAACAAGCACCGCACCTACTAGGGTCCGCAGCCTTCGACCATTTCCATGTAGAACAATGATGAACAAGGTGATCACCAGCGACGACGAATTCCTCAGGAGTCAATACTCCTGTTTCTCGAAATTTGCTCTCTCTCAAAACAGGAGTGAGCATTTCGCCCACGCTGAGAGCGGTGCTTTTGAGGTTGTTCACAAGATTTTGCATATCCATAAGCACGCTGGAAAGGTGTCGTTACTTCCATAAAGATGGGATCTTGTGGCAGCGGTTAAGATCTATCGAAAAAAGGCAATGGCAATAGAAATCTACAAAAATTCACTCCAGTTTGAACTGTGCATGAAATGAAATTCGGAATCTGCTCGGAAAGCCCACTTTGGCGTGAGGAAAAATATTGCTCGCAAATACACACAAAACAGTAAATGGCGTCTCACTGCGAAGTTTGAATACAAAATACTTGCTGTTAATTTCTGCCGAAGCCTGGGTTTGCCGAGTTTACTCCGTTTTTCGTTGGAATCCCTGGAATTGACCACTATTGATTCGAAATTATGTCGCTCACGGATAAAGCTCCGTTTGTAATGATGGAAACGAGGTTTGAATAGTTTTCTCTTTTGTTTTTTGATTGCATCCCTTAATGTATTAATTGCAGCATGGGAAAGATTTGTTTGGAACTGTACTGGGATCATGCACCAAAGGCTTGCCGGAACTTTAGTGAACTAGCTCGGCGAGGATACTATAACGGGACCATATTCCATAGAATTATAGCTGATTTCATGATACAGGGAGGCGATCCAACAGGAACAGGTAAACGTTATTTTGTTATCTCGTTTTTCAAAAAGAGACGTCTTGCGCTTAGGGAGGGGTGGAGCATCCATATATGGTGACCGTTTTGCCGACGAAATCTCAGACAAGCTCAAGCACACTGGTGCTGGGGTTCTGTCAATGGCTAACGCAGGTATGCTATTATACTATTTCACGTTTCTGACGAACTCGATGATTTTCTTGTGCTTGAGGCCCGAATACGAACGGATCTCAGTTCTTCATTACACTTGCCCCTACCCAACATCTAGATGGCAAGCACACGATCTTTGGCCGAGTTGCAGCAGGGATGAAGGTGTGTTCAGCATTTAGTTCATTGTGATTTTACAGACTTACGAGCAAGTGTAGATGTGTGATTTTCTTAGTATTTTTCTTGGAATCTAAGCTGTTTCTGACAATTCGTTGTAGAAAACAAAACTTTTCCAATTTAGGTTGTGCAGAATATGGGAAAAGTTGATACGGATAATCAAGACCGCCCCCGGGCAGAAGTTCGGATAATAAAGGCATATCCGAGCGACGATTCTCGGCTAAACTGAGCGTATGCTTGAAGTGGTGCTTTTTCTTGTTTTTGAGATCATGCCACTTTATGTTTTTGCAATTGTTTGTGTAAATTTGTCATGACATCGCTAGCACAAAGAAAAACAATAAATTATGAAAATGCACTTCAAACTTCTGTTCTTCCTTGCCCCATTGCGCAATGTAAGCTTTTGCTCGAAGTACTGCTTGCTTGGCTTGCATTGTTGCTAGTTTTGCCTGTGAGGTGTAATGCGAAGTTGCATGGCTTTGGAGTTTGATACACTACTATTGCTATTTGTAACTTCTTTAGATGTGTCATCCGCCTTGTTTTCACTTTGAGGTCGCCAATGCCCTATTGTCCAGATATAAGAGACCAGTCTAGTATATCGCAACAGGAAACCGTTTTGTAAAGATCCCGGCACAGCAGGCGGGGTGTCAGTAGTGGGTGGGATGGAGCACGGTGCCCGGAAAGCACAAGTATGGGTTCGAGTCCCGTTCCACACTGAGGTTTTGTCCAAAAGTCGCCAACCTTGTGAGAATTTCGCGGCGCATGCTACGGCGAAAAAACAGCAGCTAACAAATCATCAAGCCAATCCTGACAACATTTTCACTGCTGCGTTTGTCCTGAATGATTACTGTGGCGTAAGTACGTGTATATTAGTGAGGAACAGTTCATAGGCTGATATCCGCTCCATATCGAACCTGCATTTTTTTCAGGAATACTCTCCATTAACTAAATCCCTTTGAGATTTCAACCATTTTATTGTGATGAGGGTTCTCCATTAGCCGGCCTGTCAACCAGAGCCTAACACTAGTATCAACATCACTTTTTGCAACTTTTACAGAGTATTTTTTTTGTCGCGGCAGAGATTGAACTCATGGTTTTTCCATGTGCAGACATGAACTGTGGGGAAAACTGGTTCTGACCGAAGAAAAAGAAAAATAAGGGCACTATTGACCCTTTACTGCCCCACTTTGTCGAGAATGGGCTGGATTTCTATCGAATTTTTTTCAATAAGATGAAACCGACTAGAAAGTTGCCTAGAGGGGTAATTTGAACCGTAGAACACGAATATCGCATCCACTCGTCATGAAGATGCGTAGCGCTCGCGCCGGCGCCAAATGGAGCTTGGTCACCAGTTTTGCTGAAAACTTGCAACTAAGTATGGAGTACGAAATTTTCATGACAAATGGATGCAATATTCGTGTTCTACGAGTCAAATTACCCCTGTGGGCAAGTTTCTAGTCGGTTTCATCTTCTTGAAAAAAATTCGTTAGAAATCGAGCTCATTCTCGCCAAAGTGGGGCAGTAAAGGGTAAATAGTGCCAAAATAAGTTTTCCGTCTCCGAGGAGTGCACAAAGTCCGTCGTAGCCGCTCTCGGAGAAGCCTCCCAATGTGTCCAAGATCACCGGTACCTGGATAGTGACGTGGAGCACACTGTAAAGGCGCGGTTAATGAAGAGGTGGAAGCCATGTGGTATCTACTGGGTCCATCGGTGCTGGAGAATGCTCATAGGAAGGGTGTCCTGGGCAGTAATGTGGCTCACGATGTTCTACGGCAGCGGAGGCTGGCTCGAAGGTAGAAATCATGAAAGACTCAGCGGAGGCTGGCTCGAAGGTAGAAATCATGAAAGACTATCTAAATCTACTAAAGTGAAGATGCTCGGAAGGGTGTAGACTCCACTGGACTGACTCAGGAATGAGGACACCAGGACGGTCACGCAAACAGTCTCTGTCCGGCTGAAGATGGGAAAGCAGCGTCTGCGATGATATAGGTACGTGTTGCAAGGCCACAGTATCACCTGATAAGAAGGGCAGTGAAGCTCAAAGCTGAGGGAAAGGGAACCAGAGCCTCGAAGAAGGAATGGAAGGACGAGATTAGGAGGGACTTTTCCGAAACCAAGGTAATGGCACAAGACAGAAAGAAGTGTCGGCAACTCACGATGAAGCAAACTCTGCGAGAGAGCGGGATCATGGCTAGGGGGAGGACGTACGCATAGTGCCTATACCTCTGAAACTTCTACATATCCACTGCACTATGGTTTATGGGGTTACTGTTTCAGTCCTAGACAAAGTACCTAAGAAGCGTTAAAAATAAAATGTTGGGCTTCATGTGTGAGCGGGTATTCACAGTACTAAGAGGTAACCAGAGATCGGATTTCTTTACTCTTTGAAGATCCAATTATTAGTTTGATCCACATTAGCAGAGTATAATACTATCTGGAATAGGATATCCAGACATTTTTTGGAAGGGAAGCTTGGCATTTCAAACTTCGGTGGTTGGACGGCATTCTCATGTGGGAAAGTAACCATCTATTGATTGACTTTTTGACATTGTTCCGTTATTATACGGCAATTCTATGTTATCCATTATATAAAGGAATTATTCAACAATAGATAAGTTTGTTGCAGCTACCTTTCTAAGGACCACATTCTTGTGGGCGGTGGTTTTTCAATCTTCAAATTTCACATCCCACAGTAAAACTATTACCCAAGGGTAGGCAAGCTCGAGTAGAGTGGCAAACTGGAAGTCCAGGCGAAACAAATCGGCCTTCGTCAAGGATACACTGGAACCTAGGGCTAAGCGAAATTAAGAAAAACTGCGCTGTCCTACTTAAATTGAGGAAAGAGAACCAGTTTCATCGTGATCGGCTCACTAACATACTTCCGCACAAAAGACCTCCCGCGATGTCCGACCTCTCAGATACTTTTCTAACGAAGCGTTTCTTTTGCAGATATTCAGAAAAACATTGTTGCTAATTATGCCATGAGGCACAAATTAACCTAACTTCTTTCTGTTCGTCTTGAGCTTAAGCCATTTGTTCAATCGATGTCATTTTGTTTAGTGGGGTCGTAATCTGTTGCTGTTAAAATGAATCAAAGTTGATTTTGTACCCCAAGGGGTTTCGAAAAGAAATGTCGGCCGGCACACAAGCTGCGGTGAGAATTTTTGGGCCTCTTTTATTTTACCTGTTTTTCGGCCTCTAAAACGCCGTTTCCAGTCTCTGCTCATCGTGGCCTGCATTTTGCTGGCATCCTTTTATTTCTACAAAAATCACAAGGTTCTGACGTATGTATACACTGCGGACACCTTCGAACAGTTCTATATCACAACTCCACCGTCCGGTCAGCACGTTTCGATTGGTTTTCCCCGCTTAATTAGAGGAAATGACATAAATGTCTTTAGCGGTTACTTCTATCATGGAAAACGATTGCAAGTGGCCAGTGCTCCGCCCTGTAGATGTGATGCCAGGCTCCAATGTTGTACGCTCAAGGTATGACAATAGTTAATATCACAGGTCTGAGAGGATTTGTTGAAAGGGCTAGAGCATTGTTTGGTCAAGCGACATTTTCCGATAATCTATCAGATTTGCCAGCATTCTTTTCTTCGGTTCAGTCCTGATCAAGATGCAGAATTACGCATGCCATTACCGTGATTATGTGGTGGATCATTCAGGAATGCTTGTTTACAGAAGTGTCAAATGTAATGCTGCGATTGGTCCGCTTGTGTCATTAGATGATTTCGGATTCCTCACAGTTTCTCAGCCAACACTCGAAGGAGATTTGCACGTCGTGGCAAACATATCGTATGTTCTCACTTTGGTAGAAATGTTCTGCTTTCCAACTATGTAGGTGTATTCACCGTGTTCGTAAGTGGATTGAAATTCTCGAGCCCCTATGTGCAAACTGCTGAATTTCTTGCTTTTTAGTCTCAACATATGGCTCAATACATCGCTTTCTACTATATCTTGCTATGTGACGTAACTTTTTGGAAATTCCTGAGTCTTCTCCATATATCCACGCTTAGTGTAGTCATTTGCTGAGCAAATAATCATGAGTCAAATCAGAACATCACTTCTATAAAACTTTACTGTAAATGGGAATTATCAGAATTCCGTAAGATCTCAAAAGTGGGGGGTAAGGGTGCGTGGAATGGGGTGATGGGGGGGGGGGGGGGGGGGGGGGG